GGGTGTGTGTGTGTGTGTGTGTGTGTGTGTGTGTGTGTGTGTGGGTACAGGCTACTGAGCTGGCAGAGCTTACCTCTAAGATCTACCAGCTGGAAGACGCTAAGAAGAAAAAGGACGAGGAGGCAAAGACATGGCAGAAAAGGGTGAGAATTAATCAAAGGACCACAAGAGAGACATAGATGAATCAAACATGAGAAAAGAAGCATGTCTGACACTACTAAATGTTATACCCTGGTAAAATAGAAGCAAGGAGTCAAGACGAGTATATCACTAGACTTTCAAAGTGTGCTGCATTTCTACATGTAGCAAACATCAGCCCTGTGAAACAAACCATTGAAACCCATGCTGTTTTTGATGTAGCATATATTCTCATTATTATATTTTTATTATTTCTTTTCACTTGCTGTTTTTTAAAGTGTTTTGATATTGTATTTACTACTATTTATCTAATATATTAGACTTTATATTGTTTGACATTCATTGTAGACAGCAAAGTAAGAATTTCATTGTGCAGGGAAGCATGTTTCCTTGCTCTACTTCCTTACTTTGACTTTGACTTTGACTTGACTTTGACTTTGACCATGCTAATTAAATGCAAAAGGTTTACCTAAAGTGTATTCAAATATTTGGAAATGAGCAGTGCTATACTTGTGCTGAAGGTTTGCTTAAATTTTGGATTGGATACCTCATAGCACTAAAAAAAAGAGAAAGAAGCACAAGACATCTACTTAGCTTTTATTTTCAAAAACAGTACCAACATCTCATTGAAGGAATACAAGTCATATATGTCTCAAATTGTGTTTATCATATTTTAAATGAAAGCCAATAGGCTACTTGCACTTTAAAATCCAATTGCACCGCTTCACTGCACATCATGTGCGTTGACAGGCGATGATGGTAGAAGCCGATTTAGAACGAACCAAAGAGGAGCTGAAGACTAAGCTCATGGGCGTCCACATCCAGGATTCGGTCCACCCTAGTATGCACGAACACGATGAGACAGACGAGAGCAGCGCAGAGGCCAGCGCTGAGCTGATGTCACCAGGCACGGTCCGAGATCGCAGTGAGGAAGAAAGAGTAACAGAGACCCAGAAAAACCAGAGACTGCAGAAAAACCTTAAGGTAAAAATTAAGTGAAAATAGTGAAATGTCTTATTTTACAGATTTGCTTCTTTCTTAGGTCAGAGGTCATGCTCAGATAGAACAATCCTGGAGCAGCTCTGCAACTTTATCAGTGCAGACAGATCAGTCACCAATGATCTTCAGTATATGAATTTAGAGGTTTAGAAAATAATGCATTCTGCGAATTAGGAACCACCCCAGCTGATTGCTGAGGTTTATATAGTTGTGCCTATTGGCAGTTACTCCAGTGGCCTCTAGGCAGTAGCTCCAACAAGACCTGGCTATATTAAAATGAACACTCATTTTCTCTTGCAAAATAAAAAGTCAGTATACTTCTACCCATGGCAGTTTGTAGGTCCACCACTGTGGTCCACACTGAAATAGCTTAACCTCTGTAATGGCTGGATTGCCATGAGAGTTAATTCAAATATTCTTGATCCCTAAGCGATAAATTCTAAAAACTTTGGTGATACAGTGATGTTTTCTCTGGCATCACCATGAGGTTGACCTTTGTTGTTCAGTAATCAGTTCTTGAGAATCGTGTTTTAATAGCCAGTTTAAAGTAACTGCTTTAATACAAGGTATAGGGTGTAGGCTTGAGTGACAGTGGTGAAGATTTTTTTAAAGTGTTTTAGCATATTTGCTGTGGACATAATTATTTAGAGGTTTTGACAATACTGAAAAACTGGCATCTTAATTGACACCAAAAATTGGATTTCACTAAGTGCACTCTACATATTTAAACATTGTTGTAGGTATATTAACATTCTGTTGGTTTCATTCAAGCCACCACTCTCGTCCAGACTGAGGCTTATTACAAATGAAATAAAAATGCTCTCTGTCTCGCAGCCAAAACAAGATACAATGTTGCACAGAGGACTCAACACAAAAATGGGCTTAATAACTGTGGACAATAGAGTGGGGATTGAGGGAAGTACAGGGTTGAGGTGTAAGGCTGCTGAATAGTCTCCTAAAGAGTTCCAGGTAATAGGTTATTGTTCATTGTGTTCTTGTGTTCTCCTTTAGTTCCTGAGCACCGAGCTAGCTGGAGCTGTAGACGAGAGCAAAAAGACCCCCAATGACCTGATCCACGCTGAGAATGTGAAGGCAGGCCGTGACAAATACAAGACCCTACGTCAGATTCGTCAGGGCAACACCAAACAGCGCATTGATGAATTTGAGTCTATGTGAGACCATCTGCACCAGGCCTACTCAGACCGAAGACAAGGATAGGTGATGATTTGGACACACAGAAATGTGGGAACTGTAGGTGAAGACTAATACATAAATGAACCTGAAAAAACAGATTGAATGCCACAGCAAATGATAGTGATACTGTGCTTAGATGGCTGTAATGTTGATATTTCTGATGCCTTTTCATTAGAGGATAAGGTACACAGAAATTGACAACTATCCTTGGAAATATATTTTTAATTTCAAATGGACACATTATACATAACTGGTCTAGTTCAGTTTTTCAAACATATTACACAAGCACCTTGTCACTACTCTCATTTATGAACAGGTTTAACTGATCATAAACTGATGAAACCTTTATTACTGTAATATAAACTAAAGAAGTCAACAGCATTTAAGGCACCCAGAAGTTAAATTCTCCGGTCTTTTTGCAGAAATAAAATACAAACAAAATGTGTGTGTGTGTGTCAGTTCCCATTTGAATGGTTAAGCATCAAGGTGCCTAATGAAGCAAACTGTGCAGCAGAAAAACAGACGAGCTGCATTAAAGATAAAAGCCAATTACCACTTTCAAATGGGCGTTTGTTTATCCAATATAAATATACAGAAAATAAATAAACTGGCACTAATATCGTTTATGTAATCGACAAGTCTTCCACTTCAACACCTCTACCAGTCAGATAACTCAGCCACAAACCCTTTTTTTGTTTGTTTTATTTCTAACACACATAAAGAAATATCCCTAAATGAATCGAATTGTGCTTATTTAGCTGTCTACACAGCTAAACACGGGCTTTTCTACATCCTTCTTGTTGCTGACTGCTCATCCATCACCCGTAGGATGGTTTGTGGCTCCTCTGGAGACATTTATCATTTTGTTTGTGAATTATGTGTGTGTGTCGACTACAAACAAGCTTATAACAATGAAAAAAGTTGTCGATCAATGAATTAAACTAAATAAATATATAGCGAACGGACTTCGCATTGGTTTTATGGCAGCACCTTGTCGCGTTGCGCGTTGCTGAAATTCTATTAGAGATGCATGTTCAGTGTGTGAGTGTAATAATTACGCATGAAGTGAATTTTAGTTACACGTAAATAACGTGAAGTTCCGGTATTGGCAGCGGATATACTTTGTAAAAGTTCGCCCCTGCTCTTCACTCGCGGATCAGATCGTCACTCCCTTTTACCAGCCTACGTCGACGACTGATATGAATTTCCTCTCCGCTGAGACATATGAGCAGTCTCATCGAGTAGGCTTTTGTTTTAATAGGTTCCTCTCGCAGCCGGCGTAGCTACTGATTTAACTCGTGCTGAAAATTAGCTTTCGCTCGAGTCTGTCCAATATAGAAGTATCCAACTCTTTAATAATGAATGAGAGGGATCGTTTGGATACTGCGGACATATATGCTTGTCCGTTTACTGCTGAGCTCAGTAAGGCAGTGTCAGTGTCCCTGGGGTTGGACACGGTGTCTTCTCCGCTCAGTAGCACAAATCTGTGTTCCGTCCGTGCCTTTGCAGACTGCGATCCCACTGTAGGGAACAGTTCCCGTGGAGCGCCAGAGTTGGAAGCGGCTGGAAATATGAATTTAGAAGGCGACGTGCTTCCACTGGATGACACTAGCCTAAGAAAAGACGATTTTGGACAAGTGTGTCATGGCACACAACAGGTGAGCTGCATGGATTTGCTCACATCGGGCGACCTGGACGGGGCGCAAACCTTGACGCGCGGTCCAGTGATGTCCAGATTTTTATGCCAGGAATCAAACTGGTTTATCAATCCGGCGGCAGAGCTGTACACACCTTCTCCTCAGGTGGATGAGCTCTTACCTTTGAAATCATATTCTGCCAGTTCACGCCTATACAGAGATACCCCGGGCATGTGGTGCGCAAATGAGCGCGCATACGGTGTCCGATCCGAGACAGAGAAAGAGGGATCAGGTGGACATAATTTGTCGTGTAATTACTGTAACTGTGGGCAAGCTTCTCTAGGATCCCGACGGGAATGCCACTGTGCTTGGTACAACAAGGGTGAGCAAGGTGGTGAAGGTGGCATGCGAGCCGCAATGACACAAGGGTATGGACAAATGGAAAGGTACCACAGTGCAGTTCCTCAGGAACAGGCCACCTCTGCTATCAAGACCGAACGTGCAGTCTGGATGAACTGCACAGACCGCACTTTCAGGTAAACATTTTGACAATTATTTGTTCTGACTTGCTTTTATTGGCATCAAATGTGGATGATAATCTTGCAAAGAAACACTCACATTCTTTCCTACCATTCATTTGCTATCTCTTGAATCAAAAACAAAAGAAAAAAATCCTGCCTGACTTGATGGTCTGTCAGCCAAGATTTATCACTGTCTCTTCTTTTACAGTAAAGGAGTGTTATGAATTGAATGTGTTATTACAATCATTATCCTTTAAAGCTTCCTGGATTTTAAATTTAATTTACCGATAATTCTGTAAAGGGCTACACAGGAGCACAAATAAATATAGTGCAGTAAACATGATTATTAGTATTATTATGTGCTGTTGCCATGGCACTGTAGAATCATGTTCTGTTCAGCTGCAAAGGCAGCTGCGTGTCAGCTTAAATCATCTGTGCTCTAACAGCCCCATGTGCTTCACTTAGCTTTGGCCAAGTTGTGTTTTAGCATCCAGCTAGACTGAATCAAAGGTCAACCAGTTCCTAACTTTCCAGATTTGTCCTCATTTGTACTGCAAATGTCTACACAATTATTATCATCGTCACTATAAGCCAGAGATAGCCTGCAGCACCTGTTGCTCATCCTGTACTTAGCATGAAAAAACATTTTCTGTTTGGATATACTGATGCCAGTTTATTTATTTTTTTATTACTAATTTGCCTGTGAACTGACTTCACCTTTTGTCAGATAAGGAAATATCGTAGTAGAGGCCTAATTGGATTTAGGATATTAGTGCCTCAAACAAAAGAGGTGGTAGCCCAACCCTCTAGGTACGTGTTCTGATAGCCGGTTCTGTTTTGGATCTATGTGCTGAACTCTGTTCCTCCTGTTGAGGTGGGGGAACAGATTGTGACACAACACCAGTTACAAGTTGGTGAAACATCCAAGTTTGTGAAGCTTCATGGCCAAGCCAACCCCTTATTGAACCAGTTCACATTTTCTCTTTAGTTTATACTCTTTCACCTCTCTGATAACACAGAGGCTGCCAGAGCAACAGCATCTGTGACCTGCAGCAAAAGAGCAATAACCAGGGTACCTTCAGGTAACTCTGGGTTCACAGTACAGCAAGATATCAGCAATTTGTTCCATTGCTATTTACAGAATGATGAAGTAGAACTAATATTTTCACAGTTGTTTATACTTGAACATCCACAGCTTCTGCAGCTGCATCACAGCCCCCAGTGAGGAGCAAACACAGCACAAGGAGTTAGTGAGGACAGGGCTAATGATTATCACAGAGCAGAGACAAACTAAACTTCAACAGTTTAGCTCAGCAGAATGTCCACAACTTTAGTACTTATTAGTGTCTGTAATGTAAATAGTATAAAATCACAGATCAAATGACCGACTGTGTTATCAACATTGGTTAGATTCATTAACATTATACTGTTTGTTACACATGAAGTAGTTTTTTTTTTTGCTGTAGTGAGTGAAATTTAAAAAAAAAACTTTTTAAAACTCACAAACTTTTTAAGTGGAAACTTTTTAAATTTGGAACTGGAACTGGAAGTTTGGAACTGGAACTGGAAGTTTGGAACTGGATTCATATGAGTCCTTTTAAAAAGTATTTTTTACATCCACTGGGTGTACATGGGGTCTTAGATTTCTCTCTGGGCTTCAGATTAACTGAGTGTGTGTGTGTGTGTGTCCAGGCATGACGAAATGTTTCCAGGTGTGTACCTCTCAGAGCGAAGAGTCTGTCAGGTGTGTGGTGATGACGCATCAGGTTGCCATTATGGTGCAGTCACCTGTGGCAGCTGCAAAGTATTCTTCAAGCGGGCTGCTGCGGGTGGGTCTGACACACTCAAACACATCCAAGTGCACACACACACACACACACACACTTATGCACCCACTGATTTAATTTCTTACACCCACTTACTTGTTCATTCAGGCAGGTCACCGTGATCTGACCCTATGGAGGCGAGTTATTTGTTATCAAGTTAACACCCACATATCATTGCTAAGAGTGAAAGCTTAGACATTGTTGAACTCACTCCCCTCACCCCCCAGGATTTTTGTGTGCCTGCAGGTAAGCAGAACCACCTGTGTGCCGGCCGGAACGACTGCACCATCGACAAACTCAGGCGTAAAAACTGTGCCTCGTGTCGCTTAAAGAGGTGCTACATGTTGGGAATGAGCCTAAAGGGTGAGGAATTAAAGATGAGAACATAATATGAGACAGAGAAAGGAAAGTGTGTGTGATGTGATTTGGAACATGGGATAAGTGTGGTCAGATATGTTACCTGCACTGGATCACAGCTTATGAGTCAAATGTTCCAGCTTTATTATAGTGGAACAAATGCATTTCACAAAAGGCTTAAATATAATTTTGATGCACAGTGGCCAGTAATCAGAGACCTTTCCGCATGCTATGATAAGGAACAGCTCCATGGGCTGATAGTCACTTTAGTAAATTTAAGTATAGTCTCATTTTTACTAATTACATTAAACATGCATTATATTTTAAATACATTTTCCAGATACTGTCTAATAATTAAACAAGATTACTTAAAATAAAAGGTTCTTATCTCCTTTTTTCCTTTTTTGTCGTCTGCTTCCCTGTATTTTCTGCGGTAGGCCTAGGCCGCAGGCTGAAGGCAGCCGGACAGGCGAGAACCAGAGAGGAGGAGGAACCTCCAGCTGCCAGGGAGCCTGGAGAAATAGGAGAGATGGCTTGGAAGACAGATTTCATGTTGAAGCCTGGAAGTACAGCTGTCAGGGCAAAAGGTGTTAAGGATTATTATGTCAAGCTCAACTATCGTGCTAATGCAATATTAACCACATGTTCCCATGAAAAAAAAAAATCAACATTATTTAGTTTTTTGTGTAATTTTTCTGATCTGTGTATTTTTAGCAGCGTTCCCGGCTCTTAGCATGTCCCCAACCCTGCGCTCCTGTTTATCCCTGCTCAGCATCTTGCAGTCCATTGAGCCAGCTGTAGTCAATGCCGGACATGACCCTGCCCAACCAGACAGCCCTGTGGCCTTGCTCAGCAGCCTCAATGAGCTGGGGGAAAGACAGCTAGTAGCCATGGTGCGCTGGGCCAAGGCAATACCAGGTAAGACAAGCCAGGTCAAGATAACATACTGCACTGCTAACTTGTCCATGATAGGTGTTTCTGCCAAGACTGTGCACACTAAATTGCTGTCGTAGTTGTTTCAAGTTGTGTGCATTGCCAGACGAACTATTCGTTCATGCCAAGGAAAACACTGCAAGTTCAGACTTATCAACATTAAGCAAAAAACAACAAAAGAATGACACAGGCAGAGTAAGCACTAAGGGACATTTTTTGTGTAACTTTAATACCAGTCAGCTTCGGGCAGCGCCTTGAGATCTAACAGTCCTTGACAGAGTTTTGTGCCAGTTCACTTTCCATGTTGGAACAGCCAGTACTAGGCCATGCAAACCAGTCTGTGCAAATACTAACCACTAGAGGGGGATATGCTCACATTTAAGCCAAGAATTTACACTGGAAATGGCCAACAATACCTATACTGTGCAATCTCTGTTGTTATTAGTTTGAAACCTTCACATTTACTTGTGTAGTGTTATTTCATCATATTTAATCGCTTGAACTTGTGCAGGTGTTTGATAAAATAGAGTGCTGTTAACAGGTTTCCGTGACCTGCATGTGGATGATCAGATGTCACTGATTCAGTTGTCATGGATGGGGCTGATGGTGTTCGCTTTGGGCTGGAGGTCCTACACATTTACTAACAGCTCCATGCTCTACTTTGCTCCAGACCTGGTCTTCAATGAGTAAGTCATGAATAATATTCAGTTCACCCAAATGTAAGGGAGAGAACATTTAATGAGACAAAGTTAGTATAACTTTGCCAAACCTGGTGTATTCTTTTTGTCATACAAAGAAAGTTTGTGTGGGACTTAACAGCTGTAATAATCCATGTGACATATGGTTTGTTAAAATATCACGAGGTTGCATCTGTCATCACAGCTGGAAAGAATGGCACACTGGAATACAAGCATCAGATATAATTTGACATACATGATACATATAGGTTTATCGCATAGTTTGAAAAATTGCACAGTGAACATTGTCTTCTTTATTCTTAGCCCATACCGTTCTGTCCATCTGATAAGTACATGGCTGCATTTCATCTTTACAAAACTAACCCTCAGTCCCCGAGATCTGCTACCTCACTGAGATGTTTCTTTTTTCCACCACCTCTTATCTTGAAATCGTCTTCAGCATTGAAGGAGGGTGTTGCTTAGAATGCTAAAGCCAGCCACATGCCCTCAGAGCAGCTTTTACTTGGCTGGTGTTTAGCGCAACATTAGCAAAACATAGTTTTTGTCTGCATTAAACTTGTGTCACTAGACTGGATTGCTTCCATCCTACATGGAAAATGGATATGCCTGCCCTTGTTGCTGACCCTCATTTTTCTCTGTCTCTCTCATTCTCTTTTTTCCATTATCCGTTTCACTCATTTTTCTCACCTCTGCTGCTTTTCCTCTTTTTCTTACAATTAACTGGCTTCCTCCCATATATATTTCTCTCTTCCTGACCCTCTCTTGGCTTCTCACCTCTCCCTTTGTCACACCTTATGCTCCTTCTTCACCTCTCATGCTTTTTATAATCCTCGCAGCCATCGGATGCAAGTGTCCACTATGTATGAACACTGCATGAGGATGAGGCTGCTTGCCCAAAGGTTGTGCATGCTGAAGGTCACCCAAGAGGAGTTCCTCTGCATGAAGGCCCTGATTCTCTTCAGCATCAGTGAGTCAGCAGAGACCATGTCTCAAATAATATCTTAAATGTCAACTGCAGCCATATTTCAGAAAATTGATGGAATGGATAAAGCCTCTGAGAATTATTGTTGTGTTTTGGCTCTGTGGTCACAGTACCACTGGAGGGCCTGAAGAGCCAGCGTTGTTTTGATAAACTGCGAGCCTCCTACATCAACGAGCTGGACCGCTTAGCCAGCCTCCATGGAGAGGCCACCGATAAAGAGAGACTGTTTCAACTCACACAACTGCTGGACTACCTACAGGCGGTAATATCCACAGCTCCATTTTACATATGAAAACACCCTGTACTATGGCTCTTGTTGTCATGTTGTCAAGTTGTCATGGGCGTTAGTATCACAGGAGTAGTTGAGCAGGAAATGGAGTAGATCAAAGTCCACCACCCTGTTACATAAACACAATATTTGTGTTACAGTAGTAGGCTAGGTCACAGTCTAAGTTAATCAGCTACAGCTACATATTGCAACATCATCTAGACATCATTTTTATCAGGTTAAACACATTAGGTTAAACACTAAGGTTAAACACATATGACTCCTGTTTTAGCTTTTATTTCCAGGAAAATGACAGAGTCATTCTGCTGGTAGCATTGCTCCATCAAAAACTACTGGCATGCTCCATAAGAAATTATACAGCGGGCACATACTGTCATTGATGTAAACCAGCAGACAACCAAGTTCAGCCAGTATCATCCAGAAGCTGCAAACAGCACATCGGTCCAATCTTTGCCAGCTATAGTATATTACCAGAACAAAAGAAAAGCAGCAGGTCAGAAGGAAAACAACAGCTTCTACAGTTTTCATACTTGTTTCACCTGCAGACAATGAGAACTACATTTTATTTGCTGCAATAGAACTGAGGGCAAATTCAACAATAAGTGTTACTATTTGAATTAATAAACTGTCTGCTACTAAAATAATGTACACATAACATATTATTGTGTGTTGGTGCAACAGTCAGTGCTGGATAGTAGATTAGCTCTATATGATTAATATCCAGTGGAGCATATACTGACATGGTGTTTTTCTATTTTTATCAATTGCTTTATGTTTTTGGCAGAGGTCATAGGAGTGCTAAATGTAAAACCCCCAAAACATTACACCACATACACAAAAAAGCAAAATACAGAAAAAAAATTCAAAACTATAACAAAACTAGCAGGAACTCACAATAAACTGTGTGGTGCCTATCTATAGGATGCTGCTTAGTGCCAGTGTTATTCCCAACAATATGCTGACACAAACAACGTTTTGAAATTAGGTTAACTGGGCTATTGAATAATGATTCTTGGTAGGTGTGTGACCACTAGGTGATGTAGATCAACTACTTTATACCTTAATACCTTTACAGTGTTTAATGAGAATCATTTATTTTTGCCAAGCATGTTACACACACAAAGAATTTGTCTCCAGCCCAGAACTGAAGCAGCCATCTGCGGTGCCAACTCACACACACGCACACACTGATGGCAGCGCTGCTCTGGTCATCAGAAGCAACTTGGGGTTCAGTGTCTGAAGAGAAAGGGAATTGAACCGCTGACCTTCTCGTTGGGGGACAACCGGTCTACCTCCTGAGCCACAGCCACCCCCAAATGTCTTTCTTTTTCTTTTTTATTTTTTTTTAACAGTAAAACTAATTGGAGACAGCAGTAAGATACTCAAGAAAGCAGACTCCTGTCACCAGTGATTGGAACGTGACCCGAAGTGTAACTTGTTGTAAAGTTTCCTCCTACAAAGAGAAAAGCAGCCTCATGTCTTTCACTGAGGATTTACCCTTAAAGGCTCAGCTTTGCCTGTGTCCCACTCACATCTCAGATCTTCCTCTAATGCCTAATGAGCTGGAGGGCAGCCTGGGATTCTCTGGCAGGGCCCTTAAGGCAGAAGACCAGACTTGATCAAGACTTTGCAGTGCAGACTCCTTTGGCTTTACCCTGGCTGTGGAGCTTAGCATGTCACAATGAGTCATCCTTTTAAATCACCTAGCAAAGCTCATGTCAAATAACAAGCTTCAGCACCATTATTTCCTCATTTATCTGCAGGCCTTGTTCTTTTACAATATTATACACTTTTGGTATATCAACTTTGTTATTAATAACCTCTGAATTCTTATTTTTTGTCCTTTTTTGTCCTTTTCCTCTGTCTCTTCACCCCAGATTGTGAGGCAGTTGCACCAGTTCACCTACGATCTGTTCACCCAAGCTCGGTCCATGCAGATACATGTCAAATTCCCAGAGATGATCTCGGAGATTGTGAGCGTTCATGTGCCCAAGGTCGTCACCGGCATGGTCAAGACCATTCCTTTCCACAGTGCAGCCAAAGAGATGAGTCTCTGGTCACCGGAGCTCCAGCACCCAGCCCTTTGACTATTTCTGATAAAACTAAACTAGCTAGAGAAGGTTTTATGAGGTGAAAGGAATATAAGCCTATTGTGATCTGCAGAGTCTATAAATGGATGTTAACAGAAGGTAACGCAGCATATTCTTCCACTCTAATGTCATTAAGATACAACTACTCATTGTTTTCTTTTTTTACTGCCTGTGCTCTGTATCATGCAAACCAAATGTTTCTGGAGCTGATTAAAACACGTTTTTGCATGCATTCCACCACAGACACCCATGAATGGCCAATCGTCTGGCATGTGGACTTCATCAACAATTTATACAGGCAACAAACAGTATTTCATTTTGAGCAGTAACTCTCAAAACTTCATCGCAGCTTGTCTGTATATAGCAGTTTGACATTTGGACTAGTTTTTTCACTGTGAATGATATTGTGTGTACCTGAGATTATAAAAAGTCACTGATTGACAGTTCATAATTGGTTGTGGTGTGCACGATAAGAAGCAAAGCTCTCTCACCTAAAGGCATTTGAAAACCATTTTGAAAGCTTCTGTCATCCATAAAAGCAAAATCTGTTTTAGGTGTTGACAAAATGAAAGCACTTTTCAAATTTCACATGCATATTCATGAATACTGTGCTGTCAAAAAGTCACACCAAAAACAGTTCAGACAGTAACTGGACAAAGGGCACAAAATACTCTAATGATGCACTAACTGATTAATACTTTGGGTGACTCTTTTGAAATTTGCTTGTTTGTGAGTGTCAATTGTTATTCAAGTACAATTTTTCCTGGACATTTCTTACTGTTTCTATTGTTTCTACATGGGCTTTGTTGTGTATCATCATGTATTCATTGTAGCTTCAGGCGGTTTTGCTAAAGTTCTGCTCATTTGTTGCAACATTTACAGCTTAACAATGTAATAAAATTGAAACGTGTTGGTTATATAATTGATTGATTGATTTTATTCTTTCAAGCATGTAAAGACAGTCAATATGTCAACACACATAATTTCACACATACCCACAAATGCTAATCCAATATCAATTTGCTTATACCTAGTACATGCTTGAATGCAGTAGGAAGAAGTCAGACTTATCCAGTCCTACCCCATGACATCATCTTACCATCATTGGTTTGCAAGCAGTATCTCCAAATAAATAATTCTCTTCTACACCACACAAGAATGAGTAAAGTGTAATGAGTAAAGAATTATAACAGAGTGTTAACATTCTTACATAATTACATTCTTAAATATTTATCTTCTACACCACACAAGTAATATACTAAAGAATTATTACAGAGTGTTAACATTCTTACCAAACACCCACAATGTTCCATCTGGTTAATCATT